ATGTCCAAACAGATTTATCAAAAAACTCTGTCTTAGAACTTTCTGTGTGTATTTGTGTTATAAAAGTGACCAGAGTGATTGATCAATATGATCAGTCCACCGTGCCCTGACGTTTCCTTATATAAAAACCCAACAGTAACCACACCGCCACGACATCCTACACTCGTACAACAACACCAACAACATCACTCTGTCAACAACATCCACGCACGACATTCCGACAGCAACACTATAACACGTCGCTGGCAGAGCGTCTCAGTTAATGACAGTGCCAAGGTTTTAATTGGGCTGAGGCCACATAAAATATGCAGTGTGACTCAGGAGTGGTGAAACCAAGGACAGATCTCAAAGTTACCACGGAAGCTCAACACTCTCTAAACTTTCAGCAATTTACAGTCCTGCACCAGCGCCGCCCCCCCCTCCCCCCCACTCCCCTGGCTGCCTCTCTGACAAGCTTCAGCGCTCCCTAAAAAGACTGTCATCATTCTGTCACCTGTTGTCACTCAGTCTCCATCATCCAACCAAAAACTTGAGGGGCTGTTAATGTTGGCTAAAACTGGACCTTTCAGATGGATTGTGGTTTGATCGGAGGAGGTTGACCATGGTCTCATAGTCTGTCTTTAGTCTGACCTCACTTGACAGGAAGCTTCAGGAGAAGACAGGGCCAGTGTATGAGAAAAGACACCCAGAGTGGGAGTGGGTTGGTGCTGGTGTGCTGACACCTGAGACTGTAATCCACTTCATGGTATTAGCTAGATAACGCCCGGTCACCGTGACACCACAGACTGGATTAATAAAGATCCAAGAGATATGTAGGAGAGACGCTAGCTGTCTCTCTCTCTGCCGGAATTTTTTCAGTTTTTCTCCTGATGCTCAGCTGTCCAGCACAACTCTTTGTTTTATTATTTATCAACTCAGTTGAGTTCATTTAAAGTCAAAATGTAGAGTGATTTCCTGGAATTATACATTTTTTTGACAAACACATTCATTGTCAAGATTTTCTGTTATTCTGTTTTTCAAAGACTGGAGATTTTACTACATCGTTTGGCCTCGTCATCCAATAAGAACCTCCCAAAACTCAACTTTTTAAAAGTTCTGTTTTCGTAAAGATTGAGGTGAAACGACCAAACTTTGACCTGATCCCATTTAGGTTCAAGGTTTTACCGCGGCTGTACAATGTGGTTTAGTGGGCTGTTCAATCTCCGAGCTGAAATATGTTGGTAAATTATATTCACTCTTGATGGTTTTATTGGTGTTGGCAGCCACCTGTAGACGTCTGTGCCTCGTTTCAGAAACGCTAACCTCCCTCCAGGCAAAGGTTTGGAAATAGGCCCTTCTCAATGTGAACAGAAAACAGGTAATGGTTAGCAGCTGTGGCCATTAAAAAAAACTGTGGTTAATGTTAAACAAACAGGACGAGCAATAAAACCCAGACCAAATCAGCCGATCAGCAAATCATCCCTGACAAACGGTTTTGTTTTGTTTTTTTCGTTTTTGGAAATCAGGTTCATATTACAACTTTCCATGTAAAACTAATTCTCTTGGTTGGTATGTATTTGGTTCGTGCCTTACACGATTTTGCAGCTCAGCAACATTTCTGGCTTTCTACGCCAACCAATCACAGCACCGTGTTCTGGCCGACCGATGAATGTTGCATAAGAGCGACTGCTGAAGTTTCTTTTGCCTCCTGTCTCTGAACAGAAGCAGCAGCATCCGTCATGTAATGACAGAATATTTCATGTGCTTTCAGCCCACTTTCATTCACTGCGTTCCACTCTGCAGATTGTCTTACACCAGACTCCCACGGTCGGGATCTTGTAACGGCACAAAGTACAAAACCAGAGAGAGAGAAAGTGAGAGACGACGACTGAGAGCATTTGTAGTCGTAGTTTGGTCAATTTTCTTTTTTTTCAGTCCGTTTTTTTTTCCCAGGGTGCTAACATGGCTACATCAAAAACACCCCACTGGTAGAGGACCTTGTTGCCCCAGGGGTGCCTTGATGCCTCTGCCACAGTTCCCTTTGCTTCTGAAACCCGTGCTTCCATCCTTTCTACTTATTCATGACAGACTAGACACGGAGACGATGAGTTTGTGTGAGAAGAAAACTTCCATTTGAAACTGATCAGAAATCCTCCTCTCCACTTGACTCCATTATGGTATTGTCAAAAAATACTAGAAATCGTACCGCATCAAAAACTCAAATGTTGATCTCAGGTTTTTTTTTTTTTTTGGTTTTTTTTGTCGTGTGAATACTTCTTTTTACAGATTTACTATCCAGCCCATTTTACCATTTGGAAACCTGTACAACATTTTTTCTCCTCAGCACTCAGCCATCTTCGCCCTCTCGGCCCTTTAGCTCATTTGCTTCACTCGCAGCTCTGGTGATGGAGAGAGGTTAGCTAATGGTTGTGGTGTTGAAATGGGGGGGGGGCGCTGTTGGACCGGGCCGAAGCACGAACACATCTCTGGGGCTCTGAGGGATGGATGGCTCCTCTAGAAATAGGGGATAGTAATATTGGCACACAGAC